CACACACGTATATTGTTGTAAAGTTGAGATCATAATATGGATATTGGATCTCTACTATCTTCTCTAGTATTTCATCAGCCCGTTCTCATGTCACTAAATGTTTTTTTAAAAAAAGATTTTGTAATAGCTGCATAATGTTCTGTCACATCGCAGTACCATAATTATTTAATCTTTCCCTGTTATTAGAGTCATTCAACAAATGTAAGTACTCTTGAAAGTGCTAGGAGATAAGCATTCACTGATGATTGAAGACAAGAGTTCTGTTCTGAGGAATTGTAGGTGCTAATGGCAGAGACCAAACACTGAATGTTACTGTTTAGTGTAGTAAGACTGCATTAGGGATACACACAGGTCAACGAATAAGTGGCCACTTAAACCATGAATAAATGAGGAAGACATTGCTCAGGGAAAGCAGGTAGGAAGAGAAGAGAAAAAGACCAAAGATGGCGCCCTGAGAAACACTCCAATTTTTCAAATTTGAGAAACATTAAAATCTCCAAATTCCCATTTCCACCCATACAGCTCCAGCTCATTTTTCTGTAGGTGCTCAAAACATTCAAGGCCGAACCAGTCTTCCCCTCCCCGCCAAACCCCTCACCCTTGGGAAGCCAAGCACATTGAGTGTGAGTTACGAAATTAGATGGTGGTCAGAGGGGGCGCTGGAAGACAGGATGTTCCTGGGGGAGAACCAAGCTGGAGCTGTCACCAGCGCTCAGTTCAGAGTCCAAGGAACCACACAGGCAATACGAAATTCACCTGGTGAGGAGGTGCCCTGAAGCTGGTCTGAAACTCAAAACCGACCAACCCAGGAGGGATTCAAGTTGGCAAAGGTAGGACATTTTCGCTCTCGTGGGCTCCCAAGCCCATACTAAAGCGCCTACTGTTTTTACTTCTCCTTTGAAAGGTGGCGCCTCTCCTCCCTAACAGAGATTCTATTCCAAATGGCTTGCTCCTCTGCCTTTCTCTCAGGCCATTGTCAGGTACGGTCTGGGATGTAACTGCATCATTGCACTTGTTCTGGGACTCCTAAACTGCACAGACGTGGCGTATCTTGCCACACTCGCAAAGCCAGGAGCCGCCTGCCTCAGCACTCCCTCCCTCCCCAGATTCGCAGCCTGCTCCCCTGCACTGCCTCTTCCCTGCTGTAACCATCCTAAGCTGGGTCCCCATTTTCCCTCCTCTGCCCTGCGGTCCTTTGCACATACGTCACCCACTGACCACAAGTTCTATTCTTCAAGCCCTTTGCCCTCACAACCCTCAAGGCTCATTCTAGGTGGAAGCAGGAAGAGATGACTATGCTATTCAGGACCTTCTAAGTGAGGAGTATTAGAGAAAGCACAGTGGAAATCATGGAGTCTCTGCCATGGGGAGGAAAGATTCATCACAGGAAACTTACAATGTTAGAGTCAGAGTCAGGGCATTTCTGCTGTTAATCAATGTGTGCATATATGTGACAAAGATTATACTCTACAAAGTATTTGAGAAACCTATCAGCATTGACTCTAGAGATGAGCAAAATGCTTAGCGTGATTCCTGGATAAATGCTACTTTCCTAACAACTCTTCCTATAAATACCAGAGAAGCATCAAAAAAAAGGTATAACATTTGAGTTCGATGCCTGGAAGTAGTATCCTTTTAAGTATTCATTCATTCATTGATTCATCCATTTAAAAAACATTTGTTAGGCTCCTACTGTGTATCAGGCATGTGCCAGACGCTGGGGATATGGTATCAAAGAAAACCAGACGTGGTTCCTGCTCTCCTGGAACTTAGTTTATCTCTTCAGAGACAGGAGCAAAAGAAAGAGGAGATGCAGATAAAGAGCAATTTTAAGGGGCTGGCCCCGTGGCTGAGTGGTTACGTTCGCGTGCTCCGATGCAGGTGGCCCAGTGTTTCGTTAGTTCGAATCCTGAGCGCGGACATGGCACTGCTCATCAGACCACGCTGAGGCAGCATCCCACATGCCACAACTAGAAGAACCCACAACGAAGAATACACAACTATGTACCGGGGGGCTTTGGGCAGAAAAAGGAAAAAATAAAATCTTAAAAAAAAAAAAAAAAGAGCAATTTTAAGAATGGATAAAAAGAGAAATAGAACTTCATATACTTGGTAAAGTAGAAAAAGGACAAGAGCAAAGAGAGGACTGGATTGACAGGAATGCTGGAACAGAATCTGTGTTTAATTCCACATGGAGGCAGCAAACATGAAAAAAATGATTACTAAGGATGCCCAGCTAGGATGTGGGGATCCTCAATTGTGAAAGACTCAAACCCACATGCTTTTAGTTCTGAGGCTTTGTGTAATTGAAAAAACCACAGCTCCCAATCAAATGCCACGAAGTTCTATTTCCATACTTCAAACTTACCAATTAGAGTCTTGACAGCAAATCATTAGGGTGGATTGTCTGTGTATGTGCCACAGCACTTTCTAGAGCCGTTGTGCTGCCTAACTACCAAGCGGTAGAATGATTACGGCGAAATTCTTAAATATCTCAGGTTTATTGCGGTTTTTTCTGGTATACCTCCCCAAACACCTTCTGGCTCTTGGTGCAGTACTACAGGGTGCCCTGCGGGGGCAGCAAAGGATCAAGAAGAAGAAAGTAAGATTATCTGGGAGCAGAGCAAGGTTGCTGAGCCCTGCAGTTGCTCTCCTGGGAGTCACACCCAGGCTGGCAGAATGTCACTGAAGGGTCTAAGCTCCGCCACCGTCAGCAATGAGTTGAGGTCTTTGGATCCTTTTTAAAACATTGCTGGAGCAGAGACAAATTAGAAACAAGTCAAAGATCAATTAGTTTGGACAGCACCTTGAGAAGGCAATATATCATAGCACAGACTTGTTTCAGATCTGTCCTCCTCCATGTGAAAGCCACCAGCTGCATGTGGTTACTGAACACTTGAAATGGGGCTAGTGTGACAGGATGTCTGTGAGCGTAAAACACTAGCTTTTACTTAGCACTAAAAAAAAAAAACCCTCAATAATTTTTATAGTGATTACATGTCAAAATGATAATATTTTGGGTTAAATAAAATATTCAATTAAATTAATTTCACTAGTTTCTTTTTACTTTCTAAAATGTGGCTACTAGAAAATTTAATGTTAATAATGTGGCTTTCATTATATTTCTATTAGACAATACTATTCCAAAAGTATTCCATTTTTGGTGTCTTGAATGTATTTCTTGATTTAAAGATTACTTTAGAAAGTAATTTCTATTTTTTTATTTTTAATATTTTTTTTTTGAGGAAGATTAGCCCTGAGCTAACATCTGCTGCCAATCTCCTCTTTTTTTTTTGCTGAGGAAGACTGGCCCTGAGCTAACATCCCTGCCCATCTTCCTCTACTTTATACGTGGGATGCCTACCACAGCATGGCCTGCCAAGCGGTGCCACGTCTGCACCTGGGATCCGAAACAGTGAACCCCAGGCTGCTGAAGTGGAACATGCACACTTAATAGCTGCCCCACTAGGCTGGCCCAGTAATTTCTATTTGATATGACTTTAGTTGGCTATTTATTTGGAATGGAAATGCATTATAGTCTGAAATTATAATATTAAGTTGGTTATTATGTTCTACTACACAGATAATCTTTGAATTATGCAACACTTAACAAGAAAATGTTCTTTCTTGTCTTACATTAAAGCTCCCTCCAGAGGTTTTAATAGGGGATAAAAATTCCTTGTTGTCTCAGAAGTCTAGCAAACGAGAGGGTGAATGATCATGGTAATGATCTCTAAATGAAGAGAAGTGATCTGACATGTGGTTTTATAAAGACAACGTTCATGTAAGACATTGGAGGGAAGGGGGAACTCCTAAAAATGAGAGATTGTAGTATTGCAATGGATTCCTGAGAGACATTGTGTTGTCTCCTGTTTGAAGATTTTCTAACATATGGTCGGTTCTCTTTTCTTTCAGTTTTGACTGAGGTTGGAAGAACTGAACTGGGTGCTGTTTGAAGGGAGTATTGCAGTACAGTGGTTCCCAAACTTGGCTGCACATTGTCATCATCTGGGGAGCTTTTAAAAACTCCAGATGCCCAGACCACACCCTGGACCAATTAAACCTTGGGATGAGACCCAGGTATTTACCATGGGCCAAGTTTGCCAAGTTTGAAAACCACTGGGATAGTTAAGAGTGTGGCTTCCAATCCCAGTCCTGTCAAATTCCTAGCCATGTGACCCTGGGCAAAATACTTAACCTCTGTGAATTCTATTGTAGAGAAGGGATGATGAAAATAACATACCCTTAAAGGAGTGCCATGAGGTTTAAATAAGACAATCTATGGAAACCACTCAAAAGAGGGCAGGCATGGAGTAGGTTCTATAGCAATTAGGAGTAGCAGCTTTCTTATTTCATATTAATTCCTCTGGAAGACATTCCCAGCCCTGGTTCCCCCATCTGACTGACACTCATTCAGCTGGTAGGTTTCTTGTATTGTTCTATAACATTCCTTCGTTCACACATGAATTCATTTTACAAGTATTCATTAAGCATCTACTTTAATACCAATGTGATAGAAGACACAAAAGAAGTACACACACCTGCCTCACCCCCTAGAAGTTTAACTTCCCTCGTGTGTCTGTGTTTTGCCAATCAGATCATAAGCATCACGAGCTATGAGACCATGTTTTATGCCCGGCCAGTCCTAGCACCCAGCACCCAGCTCTGCGAACTGGAAAGTGCAAGGCACCAGGGTTGGAAGACTGAGTTCTGGTTCTTGCATTGCCACTTAAGGGTAGGGAGCAACCCGCTTGTTTCCATGCACGACTGCTGTGAAAATTACAGGTCTGACCATGCGCTGCGGATGCATTCTGTAAATGTCCACTATCAGGAAAGACTGCCGCGCGCGCCCACCAGGGGGCAGCAGATCGCGTCCTAGCGGCCTGCAGCGATCAACGTCAGGACCAGCGCCCCGCCCCGTGACCGTGACCAAGGGCAGCGCGGGGGCGGCGTCCGGCCGGGTAGGCTGGAGGCTCAAGAGGAGCGCCCAGGGCCGCGCGATGGGTGCCGAGGCCCCGGGGAGCGGGCCGGCGCTGCGGGAACTCGTGCGTGAGGCTGAGATCAGCCTGCTCGAGTGCAAGGTGTGCTTTGAGAGGTTCGGCCACCGCCAGCAGCGGCGCCCACGCAACCTGCCCTGCGGCCACGTGGTCTGCCTGGCCTGCGTGGCCGCCCTGGCGCACCCTCGGACGTTGGCCTTGGAGTGCCCCTTCTGCCGGCGAGCCTGCCGGGGCTGTGACACCAGCGACTGCCTGCCAGTGTTGCACCTCCTGGAGCTCCTGGGCTCCGCGCTTCGCACGGCCCCGGCCGCCCACTGCGCCGCCCCCTGCGGCCCCGGGGCCCTCACCTGCCACCACACCTTCGGCGGCTGGGGGACCCTGGTCAACCCTACCGGGCTGGCGCTGTGTCCCAAGACGGGGCGCGTCGTGGTGGTACACGACGGCAGGAGGCGAGTCAAGATCTTTGACTCCGGGGGAGGATGTGCTCATCAGTTTGGAGAGAAGGGGGACGCTGCTCAGGACATTAGGTACCCACTTGATGTCACCGTCACCAACGACTGCCACGTGGTTGTCACCGATGCCGGCGACCGCTCCATCAAAGTGTTTGATTTTTTTGGCCAGATCAAGCTTGTCATTGGAGGCCAGTTCTCCTTACCTTGGGGCGTGGAGACCACCCCTCAGAATGGCGTCGTGGTAACTGATGCGGAGGCAGGGTCCCTGCACCTCCTGGAAGTCGACTTTCCGGAAGGGGTCCTCCGGAGAACCGAAAGGTTGCAAGCTCATCTGTGCAATCCACGAGGGGTGGCCGTGTCTTGGCTCACCGGTGCCATTGCGGTCCTCGAGCGCCCCCTGGCTCTGGAGCCCGGGGCCTGCAGCACCACGGTGAAGGTGTTCAACGCGACTATGCAGCTCATCGGCCAGGTGGATACCTTTGGACTGAGCCTCTTCTTCCCCTCCAAAATAACTGCCTCTGCTGTGACCTTTGACCACCAGGGGAATGTCATTGTTGCGGACACGTCTAGTCAGGCTGTCCTATGCTTAGGAAAACCAGAGGAGTTTCCGGTACTGAAGCCCATCATCACCCATGGTCTTTCCCATCCTGTGGCACTGACCTTCACCAAGGAGAATGCTCTTCTTGTGCTGGACAGTGCAGCCCATTCTATAAAAGTCTATAAGGTGGACTGGGCGTGATGGGGTGTGGTGGGGGTCCCCGGGCCTGGACTCAGAAGCCCTGGAACTGCCACTGATGAATTGTTTAACCCCTGCTAAATTACTTAATCTCATCTGTCCAACAGAGAGAATTATAACTGCCTGGCAAACTTGCAAAGGTTCAGGCAATTATTAAAGCATAATAATTAAATCTACCATTTATTGAATATGGACTCCCTGTGCTAAGAAATGTGCAAATCTTAGCTTATTTAGTCCTTACAGCTACCCAGTGAGGTAATTTCGATTATTAATTCCATTTTAAAGAAGAGAAAACTGAGACCCAGAGAGTTTAAGTGACTTACCCAAGGTCACATTTCCTTACTCTGACAATTGGAACTCAATTCTGACTCCAAAACCCCTGGCTCTTAAATAAGATAAGAGATGTGGAAAAAAATACGTGACTGTAGATTGTTGCTATGTGTGCTCTTTTTACTAGCTATTTATTTTAGTTGGATGCACAGAGAAAGGAGACTTTATAGAGAGGGCAAGAGAAAAAGGATTTCGTAGTGGGCATCAGTTCAACTTGCAACTCCTCTGATGGCACATTGGATGGAGTTACTGTGGATCCTGACTTACTTGAATAAGAAAAACAGTTGAACTGCTTATTCAAAAGGTAGACGTGTCTTTTAGCACCTGTGTCTTGCCCACTACAGGCGCTCAGGGAATACTAGTTGGTTGGTTGAGAAAGGCTTGTATTGGCGTTGATTCTAAACTGCTGCAAAACACTCTACGTCCATACCAGTGTTCGAGGGCTGGATGATGTTCCTGTTACATGTTTATGTTAATTTGGAGATAAGCCACCATGATCGCCTCGTGGCAAAAGTGATTTCGCCTGCCTTTTCATTATCAATGGTAACCTGAAGCACTGTCAGGATGGGATTTTTCTCTGTTGCAAACACTGTGTACTCAATAAACACTTCCCTTGAGCCTAAGTCAGCATCTAGGCCACTGGTAAACACTTAAATACTTCCTGAATTGAAGTATAGCATTGACCAAGATAAGGCCTGCTTAATGTTGCAATTGAGTAAATGAATAGGTGGAAATTTCAGGTGAAGTGGCCAGTTCCTTATAAGTTGGTGTTTTCAGCTAGTGTAAATACCTCAGAGTTTAGGGGTGTTGAAATAGTACCAAGTAACCAGCACCTCAGAAGCAGCAGCAAAAATTTTTCCTTAGGGAGAAAATACTGGCTTTGAAAGGTAAAAGTTTGCATTAGGTCGTAGCAGATGCTTTATCAACAACAGAATTCTATTATGCAAAGAATTGTTTTTTGTTGTTGCTTTTAAGGAATCCATGAAGGAATCAGGTTTTTTTTATTTTTTCAGGGGAAGATTCACCCTCGGCTAACATCTGTTGCCAATCTTCCTCCTTTTTCTCCCCTTTTGCCCCTCAAAGCCCCAGGACATAGTTGTGTATAGTTGTAAGTTCTGCTTCTTCTATGTGAGCCACCACCACAGCATGGCTGCTGACAGATGGGTGGTGTGGTTCCATGCCCAGGAACCAAACCTGGGCCGCTGAAGCAGAGCACTCAGAACTTTAACTGCTGGATCAGGGCTGGATCTACAAAGAGTTTTAATAGATATAATGTACACACTAGAGACAGCCCCCAAATGATGAGGAAGATATGTTCCAAAAGATTGTAAATCTGTCCTTTAGAGCTAAGAGAGAGCTTGGCTCCCATGCCAGTCCACAAAAGTCCATCTTGCTTTCAGTGCTCCCATCCTATAGCACAATAGTAAGAAGCCAGGCACCTTGGACCACCATGTGTAAATGCATTCCAAATAGGGATTCTGGGATGACTCCCTTGCCCCTACGTTCACCCCACCCTTGGAGGTCACCCTTAGGTTGGCGACTTCACAGGTATTCTGCATTGTGTAACAGGAAAAATTGTCTCAGGTAGAGTTATGGGTTCCGACGTCGTCATTTGCAAGTAGAGCAACTGTGGATTAATCTGTAAAAGGGTTTCCTTAGGAATAATGACATTTTAATGGCCTCAGGTTCAGTTGAACCAATTCAAGGGACTTTCTCCTATTTGGAATTATCAGCGGCATCATCTTTGATTATAGAGCTGTGTGTGTGTCTTTTTCAGATAGCACTTGTAGGAAAGGTATATGCAGCACACGTGGAGGTGTGTGACCAAAGTATTACTTGTTACCATGTGGATTACTCAACTGGAAGAATGGGGTGTGAGCCTGTGAGAGGTTGTGGGAGCCAATCAGAGAATTGCTACAAGTGACTTTGTTAACTGATACCTCTACTTGGTAGATTATTAGGCTTGGGAGTGGGTGGGGCAGGATATACAACACAAAGAGAAAGCAGCTTTTCCCAGGAATGGCGTAATATGGGAGCGGGGTCTCCCTGGGGAAGACACAAGGCTTGTTGTTCCTGATCTCCGAGCGTGTGCTTGCTGAGGGAACAGGTTCAGTGACCTGCAAGGCAGATGCTAAATTCATCTTCTGGGCTGTGTTCCTTAAAGCAAACTGGTTAAAGGGCTTGCGGCATGTTGCACTGAATTCCAGGTTATGAAGGAGATTGAAGAGTCTGAGACAGGCGGGAGGAAATAACTGCAGCAGAAAGTCAAAGGTGATGGAGGGCAGTTGGAATGACTCTCCAGAGAGTGGAGACAAAAGAATGTCGCCGGGAGTAAATGGAGAAGGAGCAGAAACAGGCTCTTCCTGAACATCCCCCTCAATCACAAGCCTTTAGGCCAGTGCTGCCCGCCATGCGCCACCGGTGAGTCCATAAAAGCCGAGCGCAGGCACTCCAGCTCCCATCTCAGCGGCTCTCACATCACTCTCCATCCGTTCCAGTTTTGCCTCATTCCTGATCCTTGGATTGTCTCCTGTTTTTGACCTTGTTCTGCCCTGTGAACTTGGTTTTCTCAATCTTTTCCCTTGGCCTTTTCTAAGGACCTTGGTTCAGATTCATAAATCTCCCCTCCAGCAAGTCTCACTCTGGATCCCAGGACCCAAACCATCACCATTTTGCTAGGGCCTTCTCGAGACCTTTCCTGACTCCCAACTAAGTGGGATGCAGACCCCACCAATGGTGAGTTATGCACCTTTTGAGGAAAGCAGTATGTCCCGTGCACCTCAGAAAAAGGAGGAAGAACTAGTGATGATCGCATTTAATCCTCCTCACATCTGCCACAGAAAGAAAACATGGGTCCTGGTGGCTAGTGCTCCGCTAATGGTGATGCGCTATGGTGACGTATCACGGTTAATAAGGAGATGAACTGTTTTCTGGAAGAATGTGTAGAAACTATGATAGGGAGGCTGCAAGACTCACCACAACTACTGTACCGAACCATCATGGTGTCTCCTGTGCCCACAGACACTTCTAAGGAAAATGGCTCCTCCCACAGGCCTTACTGATGAGCCAGCTCTCAGCCACCATATTTTCTACTACATGACCCCCTCCAGCAAGAGCTGATTGGACAGGGGTGCACAACTAACTAAAGAACAGCCTAGCCATCAATGTCCCTCCAAATGTGTTAATTAGACCAGGAAACTGGCCTGTGAGGTGGCCTGGGACAATCAGGTTTTCCCAGAAAGGACGATCCAATTAGATTCTTGGCCCTGACCTTTGAATTGAGCAATAGGATGCGAATCAGGCAGATGGCAGCCTGCGGGGGGATGCTGAAAGCCTGCTCAGTTAGAGGGCACAGCAGCTGTGAGCAAGCCAGAATCAGGGCTGGGAAGCAGCTGTGGGGCAGAGAAGAGAGACAGCTGCGAGGAATCCAGGTTAGAAAGGGAGGAGAAAATGCACCCAGGAAGCTAAGCTGTGCGAGTTTGTTGCAACAGAAAGTACCTAACAAAAATTATGCTATGTTGTTGATTTGTTTGGAGAAAATTGAACTTAAGCCTCCTGATTTTGATGCCATAAGTAAGATATTAACTCTGAGGGGAGCAGCACTGTCCCGTCAATGCATCCGCCCCCAGTACAGGTGGGTCCTGAGATGAGAGCACAAGTGGAGGCCCACATACCACAGGTCTAAATATCTGAGTTATAAATCAAGCCAACAAACTCTTAAATAAAATACATCCAATCCTTCTATCTTGATAAAGGTAAATAGAAGTTTAAAAATACACTTTCATCACCATCTGGAAGGCCAGGTTCTACTTTAGAATACTTGGATGGAGTTTTTGCTCAATTTGGGGGTGCTACATCTTAAGAAAGATCATGACAAGCTGGACTGTGTTTAAAAGATATGAAGAAGAATCTGAAAAGCATGTTTTTTGGCAGCTTTACCAACTAGAATGTCAACTCCCCAAGGCAAAGACGTTTGTGTCGGTCACAGCTCTTTCCCTAGTGGCCAGAACACTGCCTGACACATTGTAGGCGTCCAGAAATATCTGTTGAATTAATATGTTTTTCCCAAGGAATTTTTCTAGACTATGTGTTCCTTTTGCTGATAAAAGGGAAGTGCTGGGGCTGGCCCTGTGGCCAAGTGGTTGAGTGTGTGCATTCTGCTTCGGCGGCCCCTGGTTTTGCTGGTTCGGATCCTGGGCGTGGATCTAGCACGGCTCATCAAGCCATGCTGAGGCAGTGTCCCACACAGCAGAACTAAAGGGCCTACAACTAGAATATACAACTATGTACTGGGGGACTTTGGGGAGAAGAAGAAGAAAAAAAAAGATTGGCAACTGATGTTCGCTCAGGGCCAATCTTAAAATAAAATAAAATAAAATAAAATAAAATGCTTACAAAATAAAGGAGAAGTGCTGTATGTAGCTGGGTAGCTTGGGGAAGCTGGTCTAGAATTAAAACAATTTGTGGTGGGTTTGCTGAGTGACTCATAGACAGTTACAAAAGCATTATGGTGACTTTGTGGTAGCCTGGGTTGTATATTGGGTGAAGAAAATTACCACATTTCCATTTTCACCAAGCACATGGGCCTTTGAGGTGTGGGGGTTGCCTGAGTAGTCATGAGTCACATCTTTTGTCAAACACTGAAGAGCAGAGACAACACCAGTGTCCTTGCT